TTACCCCTTGTAGAATGAGAACCAAGAATGATCATCTTGTTGGAAAGGCCTTCAATCTCCTCTTAGAATGTAGATTCCTCAACCAAGAGGTTCCAAAGTAGAAGCCCTCTACCTCACCACACCAAAATGGACAAGAGATGATCAACCAAGATGCCTTAGATGCTAGACTACCTCTTAGTTGGTCCAATTTTTGGCTAAGAAAGATGCGAGGGAGGATGTCTCTCCTACACATTAAGAACTCCAAGTCAAGTTTGGCTTTTATAGGAAAAAGCATAAAAAGGGAGAGAGAGAATCTTGGGTCTTTTGGATTTGTGTTGTCATACAACACTTATCCATGTGCCCAACTGACTTTTGGGTATTTTGCAATTCTTCTTTTAAATCATATTTAAAACCCAATCCAATTCTTTATAATTTCATAATTAACTTTTAATTACGAATTATAGTTTAACCATTAAGTTACACTTATAGTCTTACTATTTCACTCAATCAAATGTTTCGGTCAAACATGTTGACTTTGACTTTGACTTTTGATTCCTAGTTTCTTTTCTCTTCATTTGTTCACCTAATCTCATTTATCGGTGTGCGATCCGTAGGTTCCTTTCAGCAAGATAGTGGGTTAACTCAACTTCTTTCAGTTGACTTGTGAATTAAATCTCACTATTTAATTCTCCATATTAGTGAAGGTCAATTATTATTGAACCTTTCAGGATTTCCACAGACCATGGTTGATGCCTAGCATCATGTCATGGTTATCCGAGCTAAATAAGGGCAGGTAAGAACCTATTCAAATTGGAATGACCGTGCAATTGAATCATTCTCTTGTACAATACTCATTATTCACATTATCCTGGTAAGATTTGAAGACCTCTTCTTCCAAATCTTATGCATTACTCTGTGCAGAGATTTGATCAATCATATATTTGGAGTATTCTCTCTTCTTACTAAGGTTAGAGATCCCTTGTTGTACATTCATTTATCTCCATGACTTTATTGAGAGTCTTGATAAACACCTTTAAGTCTACAATATAATTGTATAGTGCCCTCAAAGACAAGAAAACATAGCCACTAGACATATGCCTTAGGTCTAAGGATTAGTTTGCACCATTGCAATCTATGAGTTCTAGTTTGATATGTGTGTAATGACTTCCATTCTAGAACTCATGTATTTGATAGCTTCAGTGTACTTGTTCTCCTGCAAGCACCTACACACATATCTTGGTATCACTACACTCAATGACTTGAGACCTCGTCATTCTTTATATACAGATAAGGTACTGTGTGTACTGGTCTTGGCGGAATATCAACGTCCAATTGATACTTCTATGACCAGGAACATATTTAGGATTAGGAAACATGATAAGTCTTGATGTATGCATTCTCATTACATAGTTGTCATATCCACTTATATATTCCTAGGACTATAGTTGTTTTATTGTTATGATAATATACCAAATATCATGATTGAACCTTTATATTTATAACTAGCCTCTCCACACACACTTCTACACCTACGAGAGGCTTTTTTAAACAAAAATTAAATTTATTTTAGAATTAAAAAAAGATAATGGATAGTTGTGTTCCATATAAATAGGATCCATTATCTAATTTTTATTTTTTATTTTTTTAATATGAAAAGGTGTGAATTTACCATATTATCCTCATTTAATTAATAATCTCAATTCTTAATGTTTGCATTAACCAAGGGCATTTTCTGGTATTTTGAATGTTTCACCATTCTCTGCCTTTTGCTTCATATATATAGATTCTCCAAAATAAATTCATTTCTATATTATTTGCAGTATCCATAGCAAGCAATAAATGCAAGAATAAAAGGGATCGCAAATTGAGACATGAAACAGTTGTGTTGTATCAACAGAAACTACAACTAGAAGAATATCTGCACCATTGGATAGAATTTGATCTCCCCATAAACGAATTGGGGTATGAAGTGGTTGCTTGGCTTCGCTCGCTGGCCTATCTTATGTGGGCTGTGAGCCTGATTGCTTATCATTAATATTTTTTTTTTTTTTTTTTTTTTTTTTGAAAGCCCAACTCATTGTAATTGTAATTGTGTATAAATATTTTCTGGAATTTGGAAGCCCCACGATGGAAACGTTTTTACTTTATTTTTTGTTTCCAAATCCTAACTCTTTATGCCTCTTGTATATAAATATTTTTAACTTTGGAAATGTGATCTTTATGCCTTTGTGTTTCAGCCTCGATGTATGGGTTTTTCTCTCAAAGACTGAAATTTGTTTTTTTTGTTTTACACAGCTGGACTTAGGGTTTCTCTCGTGGCTGATAGACTCTTAGATGATGTCTTTATGGTTTTCCCCCTAATATCTTCATATAATTGTTGTTTATTTTTATGTCATGTCTCTGATATGAATTTAGTCCCTGAATTTTTTAACTTAATTCTCTGATATGATTTCCTGAATTAATTCCTTTCCCCTTTTGATATGAAATTATATATCAGATTCTTTTCATTTTGATTGTTAAATTATTATAACCTAGCTAAGATCTATGATAGAGTACTCAGTTGAAGAGCTATTCGACATAGCTTTGGTTAAATCATCTTTCGTTTCTCCTTTTCTAAAGTAGGGCAAGAATCAAGGGGGTACTTTGATAATATATATGGTTGTTTGCACTGTTGTAGATGTCATATATGCTTCTATTGGTTTCATTACCATTAAGATCACAACAAATTAATGCTAATCTTACATCGAACTCCTGTTGTGATGATTTAGCAAGGTTTCTTACTACATATGTACATGTAATGCTTTTCCTGCATGTATGTTTACAAAGGCACATTAGCATCTACGTATTGTAAGTTAGGTAATACCGTTATCACTTTCGAGCGTATATTGTTTCAAAATCTTCACAAATTATTTTATGTCTAGTGTCAATTATATGATAACTAAGGTAAGTTAGATAAAATACACACGCATATGTATTGTTTTCACACTATATTCACAAATTATTTTGTGCTGAGTGTCAATAACATGATAATGATTTTACTGTTTAAATTAGAATAACGTCAATTGAGTCCATATGAATTATTTTGTGTCTCATGTCACTTTGATTGTTGTCGTTTATCTTTCGAACTATCTCTATATCTTTTGACCAAATTAATTGTTCTATCTCATTTATGATTTAAGATAACCCTTTGCTTTTTCACCAATTAGTAAACCTTGGAGATATTGTTGATTCTTTACATCCCACTATCGTGAGTGAGTTACATTTGAAAAAGAACGAACAAGCATGCCACATGATCTAATGTTTATAATGATCAAATAGCCACATTATAATGGTGTGTACATATAATCGCTAACTAAATTTCATAATTTGACTTCCTTTATTTATTTATTTTCACAAAAATTTTGGGATTGCATTTATAATTCAGCCAAAAAAGTCACTAGCCATAAAGGACCAGTGCGAACTAGCCACAAAGGGTCATTACAATAACATAGATCTAACATCAAAATTAAGACACTCTGAGACCTCCACTAACGATTATGTAGGGTCGAAGAAACTCTGGTGTATGCATTCCAACTAAGAGTGCAAACTCAAAAAAAAAAAAAAAAAAAAAAAAAAGATAAATATGAAAAAACCAAATCATAACAATACAAATAAAACTCTCACAAAGGAAAAGTGAAAAGCTCTCACAAAGGAGATGTAAAAAACTATCACAAAAGGAGGGATGAAAACTACAAAGAAAACCCAAAGAGTCTATGCGACTAATTCCAAATATGAAGAAATCGCACGAACGATGGTGGTAAAGATCCAACACCGAAATGCATGCAAAGATCTGACGTTGAGATGCATCCGCTTATGATGAGTGGAAAAAAAATCATTACAAAACGAAGACAAATGGGGGAAACCTTCTGTCTCTTAAAATTGGGGAAAAGAGGAGAAGGGAGAAAGGGAGAAGGGGAGAGAGGGGGAATAGATGGGAGAGGGGGGAAGAATAGTGGCTTCCTTCCCCCTCCAAGTGAAAACGGTTGTTGAGTGTTTTTTTGGAGAGGGGATTAGGGTTTTCTAACAACTCTGAATTAAAGATGATTTGTGCAGATCATATGTAAGTGATTTACATATACACCACAGCTTAGTAACTAATTATAAATTAATTTATTGTTATTTCTTCTTCTTTCTTTTTTTTTTTTTTTTTTTTTTTTTTTTTGATTCTCTAAAATGTACGTTATGCAATAAATAACTTATCCAACCACACAGACCAACCTTAGCTTGAACACAAGACCACCTTTTGATCATTCGCAAGCCGTCGTCGACGTTATGGATAATAACCCTAGTAATTTTCAAGATGTCATTGGAGCAGCTGAAATACTCGTTGTGCCAACTATGGAAGATTGTCATCAAACAACAGAGATTAAGGAGGACAACGTTAATGTGAAAATGTAAAAAAATAAATAATAATAAATAAGTCAAGCTTAAAGATGTGATGTAGTGTGATCTACCTTCGGTAAGGGCCTTCTTTCGGCAGGCCGTGGGCTATCTACAAAGAGAGAAAAGAATAGCGAGGGATCAAACCTAAGGCACTCATGTGGTACCGGTCAAAAGCCCTTCGATGCTAAAGTTAGCTAAATGAGAGTAAGGTTAGCTATTGACAATATAAGGGTATAAGTGTCAAGTCGCTATTACGTTTCTCCCTAGGGGCAAGGGACCCTATTTATAGAGGTATAGGGGTGTTTAATTGGCAAAAACTTTCGATGTGGGACTCATGATAGTGGCCTAAGAGGCTGCCACGTGTCCTAGCGCATATGTCCAACGTGAAGCCTAGCCAAGTATCTTTGGCAAGGACAATTGGCAAGGACAATTGACAAAGAGTACCAAAGGTACCTGCTGATTCGCGAATATGGGCAACAGCAACTAGGCTAGTCCAGCATGGGCTTTATGGACCTCGTTTGATGTCAGGTTCCTTCCACGTGGCATGGCTTGTGGGTTCGGTTAGATATGGTACAAACAGGAGACCCCCAAGTTCCCGATTAAGAAGGGACTTCTTGGTTGGGGACTTGCGCGTATCTTCGGCATTCTGACGTGGAACTTGTCATAGAGATTTTAGCCAATTCTTCATGTTTGTTGATGATAGTCCCATAGTTTCCCAAGTCTCTAACCCAGGGGGTGCTTGGAAGAAGGGTACTTGGACCGTGTCTATCGAACAATTGGCTTAATGTGGAAGTAGTGGATGGGGGGAGGGTACGCGACCCTATGCACCTGGAGTTCGGCATAGAAGGAAGAACAACTGTGAAGATGAGGATACTCAACCTTGTGCGCGTGTCGTTCGACATGTTTGTTGACTAGATCGATTTTCGAAACAGGATGCACTTCTTAGATATGCTGGGATTGATGTACTAAGAGAGTAATTGTCGCTTGCCATGACGCCTAGACTTCCATGCATGCATAGTTTAGGAGTTAATTCTAATAGGGGACACGTGTTAAAGGAAGGCTCCCATAATGATTACCCCTTTCGTTTCCTGATACCAGTCTTCAGTATAAAAGGTGATGGGGTATACTTGAAGGTCCACTTAGCGTTTGAGGGCAAAAATTTGAGCTTGACAAAGGCAATTTCCTATGAGAGGTTTTCGGCAATCGAAGTGATTTTTGGCGAAAGGTGATTTCTGGCGAGTTGCACCACTATGAAAAATAAGGTACGTAGCTTCTGCCCTGGTTCTTACATATCAAAGTGCTTGATTTGTTTGAGGTTTTTCATGAACATAGAAGAACTTGCATGAACTTGGGGGAATGCATAAGAACATATGTCTTGATGAATTATGATAAGTAGTTTGATTTGAGCACGGCATTTAGTTTCCTTTCACTTCTATTTGTTGATGTCAGAGGGCTACGAGCATGGTACCAAATATGAGTGTGCCAATTCTAAAGGCACTGATCTATAGATGCTGGCTAAAGAGGATTCGGAGGTGCCTGTCGAAGCTACATGCATTATGTGTCCTACTTTATGTTCTATTCGGGCCGCTAAGACAGCCCACTACGAGGAGTTTCTTATGCAAGATACTCGTGTGACGGATCAGCATACGAGTTATCAATCAAAAATTCTACATCTGGTCTTGGTGATCAAGAGGTCGAAGGTTCGACGTCGATTCCTGCTGAAAGGATTTTGAGAGTTGTGACTGGTAACCAACTGGTGCCGATGGCCCAGACAAAGGGACTAGTTTTTAGAGCGGACTTCCTGGAGTCGAACATGCTGACGGATTGGGAGTTGGCCAAGATCTAGCGGATTACCATATCCCGGATTCAGTAGTGATGCGGATCCTTGAGCTATTAGAAGCATTAGGCAACCCTAAAGGTGAAGTCGTCTTCTTTGCCGATGTGTTTAATTATGGTCTTTGGTTGCCATTGAGACCATCGATACAGCGAATACTAGCACAAATATGCTACCCGCCAGGGCAATTTAATCTAAACTTCTGGATTATGCTCCTACCATCTAGACCCTTATTGTCTGCATTTTCTCCCAAAAGAATAAAAAGTTAAGTATACATAAGGAAACTAACTATATTTAAGGGCTATTTAGATTTAAGTCCAAAATGATTAGCTATTATTGGGTTTAGTCCACGCATTTATATGTAGGTCCTTTGACATTTATCACTTTTGTTGTTGTGTTGATATTACCCTTTGAGGTAAATAAGGAAAACACATTGAAAATTTAAATTTAATGGATTATTTCCTTGTAATTGAATTCCATAATTTAAATTTTGAATTCTTTCCTTGATAATATTCCTAATATATGGATAACATACAATTTAATCAATAAAAAGTATAGACCCACATATTATACCAATCAATCAAACAAGTACCCACATTAAATTATATACTTAACATACAGGTAAATAGTGTAATTATTATCAACGAAAAAAACTTAGTGATGATAAATCATGTTACTTATAAGTTAGAACATAAATTAGAAGACTACCTATAAGTCATAGACAAAATAAAATTGTATGTTACCTATTAAAAAAATAAAAATAAAATAAAATAAAAGAAGCTGAGTTCCCACTCCCATTTTTCCACTTACACTCCCTTTTGCTTTTTAATCAATTTTGTTCTTTCTCTTTCCTATTATATCCTTACCTTACATTAATTTCTTTTTACTTCACTTTTATATTATTTCTTTTTCTTTATACTTAATTTTCTAACTTACACTCCATTTTCAGTATTAAAGGGAAAAAGAAAAAAAAACTTAATTTCTTACTCGATTAAAGGAAAAAAAAATAAAAATGGAGTGCAAATTGGAAAATTAAGTATAAAGAAAAAGAACTAATATAAGAGTGAAGTAAACAGAAATTAATGTAGGATAATGATAGAATAGGAAAGAGAAAAAACAAAATTGATTAAAAAGTATGAAAAAGCAAAAGGAAGTGTAAGTAGAGAAAACTGATTTTAAAATAAAATAATAAAAAGATTACATCAAAAAAATATTTAAAATGGAATGTAATTCTACGTGGCACAAAAGTCAAAGGACTTGGATCAAAGTCACCAAATCTGGGAATTAAACCCAACTCCTCAATGAAAATTTGGATCTATATCAACGTTTCTGTATATTTAATTATATATGTATCAACTGATCAAACCGAATCCATGTTAACAAAAAAACTAAAAAACCACAACAGGAAAATTGAATACAGGCTGCAGATTGCGAGCTCAAATGTGGCATGGGAATTAGGATTTAGATGATCCTCCATTAATGCCACGTTTGGGCTATAATTGATGTTGGATTGGAATACAACTAGGCTAATCCATTCCAATAAATGTAATCCAAATCCTTCTAGGCTAAGGATGAAAGATTTCTTCACAAGAAACATATTCTTCACTAAAATTTCATTGAGCAATTACCAATTGTACAAGGGTTTCATGGATGAAATGTATTGCAAGCAGTCGAACACGGATATCCTTACGCTTCTAAAACAGTTAAACCATAGGATTACACAAACTTACACTTAAAAATTAACTTGTACGGAAGGGTTCTCGAGAGCTCTCAACTTGGGATATTTGGGTTCTAACATTCTACCACGCGTTTGTATATGACGTCATCATCGGCGCACTCTATCGACATTGGCCCAATGGTGTCATCCATTCCTTCCTTTGAGGCAGCTTCACTCGTTTACCCGTATCGCTCTTTCTGTGAAGTCTGGCTCAGGATCCACCGAAACACAAGGATTTGAAGATTAGTAAATAATGAAGACCCTATAATTCGAAGGAGACAGCAAAAGCATAATAGCCTGACATATAGTACCTCAAAGCAGCCCCAGCATATTCATATGAAGAGAACAGAATCAAAACAGAGTACAAAGATATATTTGCACTCTATTGAGGGCACAAGTATATACTGACTTCCATTTAACTGATCATCTAACATGCTTTTCTAAACATCTAGTTAGCTTCCCCGACATATATATTCATATGCCCTCACTTCTCACCTAAGAAAAATAGAATTAGTACCCTTTAACAAGAGAACAGATTTGCAAATATCCTTTGGACACAAAAATACATTAGTTTCATCAAGTTATGATAGAATACTTTAAGATAATTATTGACATTATGACATACCAAGAATCTCATACCAGTAATTCAATTTCCATACAATCATCTTCGACCATCATATATGTAGAAAAGATATTGGTACAAGTGTAGTTATAAGAGGAAACTTATTGTACATCTGTCTATCTTTATCACAGTGAGCAGCTTTATCCTTATTTGGATTAGAGTAAAATTGTAAGGAATGGCTAACAATATATAAAGCACACGAAATAAGAAAGGAAAATGGTTACCTCAGCTTGTACTGTTGTTTTTTGAATGCAGTCCCTCCCAATATAAGGGAAACTCTCGGCAGTAAGTATATGCAGCACAATATAACAAAGAGCAAGAAAAACAGACAACCACCAACTGCAGTATAACAATAAAAAAGAAAATTAATAAATGGAAGAATGACGCAAATATGGAAAATGAAGAACACGTTACACAACAAATGAATTAACCTCGACCACACTCGGAAATTAAGAAGTACCTAGGCCTCCACCATGTTGGCAAATACAATCGAAGGCACGTGTTGGATTTTATAGAAATCATTGTTGGAAAAACAATTATCAATGACTGATTAAAACAATTATATAAACAGAATATATAACAATCTGTACCACAGAATACAATATATTAACAATAAATAAAACTAACTTGAATTTGAGATAGAGGCTTGCAGATTTGATGCAATGTCCTAAAGACAGTAATTTCACCCCTTCTCGGTGCTTGAAGTTCTACAGGTGACTGCCTCCCAGGATTCAACTATCTATATTCTAAGCCCTAGCACTCGGACTTAGAATCTGGCGAACGTTGTTTGTTTTCCTCTCAGACAATATGAAAATGCTTGTAGAATGCTTTTTTCTGTATCTAACGTATGAGGCTTTGTTTGATTTAAATAAACTTCTGAAACCTTATCAGAAGAGTCACAACTGTTAGAAAACAGTTAATAAAACTAATCCGAATTAATAAAAATTATTAATTCGAAACCAAAAAATAATTTTAAATCTGAAAGTGCCCAAGTGCCCCAAGGCCCAAGGCCCATCTTTTTGACCATTAAATATTATATATTTTTATATAATATTCAAAGCCCAAATCAATTTTGAAGCCCAAATTGCTTCCACTTGGCCTACTTCCATTTACTAAGTGTGGCACTTCCACACTTATAAGGACCTCACTCTTTCTACTTTCTATCAATGTGGGACAAAGGTTCTTGAATTTAATTCAAACTTCCAACAATACCCCACATTTGAATCGAAATTCTAGACCCCACATTTGAAATGTGATACTTTTACTGCTAAATGTATGTAATGCATTTGAGAGGAAACAGATGTTATATACATCAGGAAAAGTGTCTTTTGGACTTGAACTTACCCTAGTGAAAACATATCGGATTTACTTGATGACGCAGTGGATATAGTTGATCTTGAACTGTTCACCGTTATAGTAAACCTAGACAATATGTCTCACACATATAACATCTTAACAAACATTAGTTCATACGTTTTTGTTCATTTTGGTCCTGAACATATCCCAGGTTTCATGAGAGCTTTAGAGAACTTAGCCTTTTATTTTCCGTTCTCATAAATGCGACCCCACATTTACTCCCATATAGGTGACACCAATTAAGAGTTTTCTGCCTAAACTCCTCTTAGTAAGATATTAGTGTCATTAAATGCAAAGCATAACCTTCACATCAACAGACAACACACTAATCATCATAGGAATGAGTTAAATTGTGTGTTCAACTTTTGAATCTTACCCAACCAGTTTGCCTATTGAACCTAGACCATGGGATCTCCAATCAACTAGGTTAGGTTTCCGTCAGGTTTGATTCATTGGATTGGCTTCAATCCCATTCCTCTCGATGTAAATTTGATTTGCTCTCTTGGTAGGCCTTTTGTCAAAGGATCTGCAATATTTTCCTTTGACTTCACATAGTCAATGGATATAATTCCATTTGAGAGCAATTGTCTAATTGTATTATGCCTACGCCTGATATGTCTTGACTTTCCATTGTATACACCACTCTTGGCTCTTGCTTGTGCAGCCATACTATCACAATGTATACAAATTGCTGTCACAGGCTTAGGCCACATTGGAATGTCCTCTAGGAAGTTTCTCAGCCATTCTGCTTCTTCAGCAGCTTTATCTAAGGCTACAAACTCTGATTCCATTGTAGAGCGTGCTATACACGTCTGTTTAGAGGATTTCCAGGATACTGCAGCTCCACCTAATGTAAATACATATCCACTAGTTGATTTGGTTTCTGTACTATCAGAAATCCAATTTGCATCACTATAGCCTTCTAGAACTGGTGGATATCTAGTGTAGTGCAATCCATAGTCTTGGGTGTATTTCAAATATCTTAGCACCTTTATTAGTGCTTCCCAATGATCATGTCCAGGATTGCTTGTGTATCTACTAAGCCTGCTTACTGAATAAGCTAAGTCTGGCCTAGTAGAATTCATTAAATACATTAGGCTCCCAATTACTTGGGAATACTCCAATTGGGAAATTGCATCTCCACTATTCTTTTTAATTTGCAATTTACATCAAAAGGAGTCACAGCAGGTTTGCAGTCAAATTGACCAAACTTTCTTAGAATTTTTTCTGCATAATGGGATTGAGTAAGAATATACCCATCATTATTTCTTTTGATTTGAATTCCCAATATGACATCAGCTTGACCTAGGTCTTTCATGTCAAAACTTGAATTCAACATCTTCTTTGTAGAATTTATTGCATCCTTACTCGTTCCCATTATGAGCATGTCATCAACATATAAACATACAAGAACACAAGAATTCTTGTTGTTTTTTATGTAGACACACTTGTCACATTCATTGATCTTAAATCCGTGTGACATCATTGTATGATCAAACTTTTCATGCCATTGTTTTGGTGCTTGTTTAAGTCCATATAAAGACTTAACAAGTTTACAGACTTTAGTTTCTTGACCTTTTACCACAAAACCTTCTGGTTGTTCCATGTATATTTCTTCATCTAATTCCCCATTCAAGAAAGCTGTTTTTACATCCATTTGATGTATGTCCATATTGTGTATTGCAGCTATAGCAATTAACATCCTTATAGATGTAATTCTTGATACTGGAGAATAAGTGTCGAAATAATCCAACCCTTCCTTTTGCCGATACCCTTTAGCAACTAAACGTGCCTTGTATTTATCAATAGTACCATCGGCTTTTAGCTTTCTTTTAAAAATCCATTTATATCCAATTGGTTTGTTACCAGGTGGTAAATCAACCAATTCCCACGTATGGTTCTGCATAATGGATTCTACTTCGCTATTAACAGCTTCCTTCCATAAAGGAGCCTCAGGTGAAGCCATAGCTTCCTTATAAGTTTGTGGTTCTTCTTCAGTCAGGAAACTTACAAAATCTGGTCCAAAACTTTTTGGTGTTTTAGTCCTCTTTCCTCTTCTAGGTTCCACTTCCTTTTCTTGGACACCTGAAGAGGATGGTTCATCAGGATTTCCATCATGTACTTTCCTTTTGTTTGAACCGGACCTCTTTTCTTTGTAAGGAAAAATTTCCTCAAAGAAATCAGCATCAACAGATTCTATAATTGTGTTAACATGTATATCAGAAATATCAGATTTAATAACTAAAAATCTATATGCAGCACTTGTGTTAGCAAAACCTATGAAAACACAATCAATAGTTTTAGGTCCAAGTTTTACCCTTTTTGGTAAGGGTACTTGTACTTTAGCTAGGCAACCCCACACTTTCAGTGTCTTGTATGTAGGAATCCGTCCTTTCCACATTTCATAAGGAGATTGTTTACTCTTCTTATGTGGAATTCTGTTCAAGATGTGATTTGCAGTAAGTAAGGCTTCACCCCACAGATTGTGTGGAAGCCCAGAGCTATTCAACATGGAATTTATCATATCCTTGAAAGTTCTATTTTTCCTTTCTGCTACACCGTTTTGTTGCGGTGTATATGGTGCAGTGGTTTGATGTATAATTCCATGAGTTGCACAAAAATCAGAAAATGCAGTGGACTCATATTCTCCACCTCTATCTGATCTAAGTACTTTCACTTTTCTATCAAGTTGATTCTCAACTTCTGCCTTGTATGTCTTAAACATCTGTAAGGCTTCATCCTTGCTATGTATTAAGTATACATAACAATACTTACTGCAATCATCTATAAATGTTATATAATAATTTTTCCCACCACGAGTTGGTGTAGATTTAAAGTCACAAAGGTCACTATGAATTAATCCAAGTAATTCATTTGATCTTCCTTGAACAGATTTAAAGGTTTGCCTAGAAAACTTGGATTCTGTACAAGTTTCACACTTATTATCAAAGTCAATATCAAATTTAGGCAATAAACCTAGATGCATCATTCTATGCATAGATCGATAATTTACATGACCTAATCTAGCATGCCAAATATTAGAAGACTCAGCAAAGTAAACGGAAACCTTATTTATATTATTATTAAAAGCATCATTGCCAGTTACATTGAGTTTGAACAAACCATCAGCAAGGTAACCCTTTCCTACAAACAGCCCTCCTTTGGTTAGGATGAACTTGTCAGATTCAAATACAAGTTTGAAACCCTTCTTACTAAGAATTGGGCCAGACACTAAGTTCTTCCTAATTTCAGGAACATGCAGCACATCCAATAGGGTTAAAACCTTCCCAGAAGTGAACTTCAGCAGCACACTGCCTTTGCCTTCAACTGCAGATGCAGAGGCATTTCCCATGTACAGTTTCTCACCACTAGAATTCTGTTCGTAATCAGTGAACAGATTTCTGTCACCACAAATGTGCCTAGTAGCACCTGTATCAACCCACCAGTCCTTAGTATCAGAAACCAGATTGGTTTCAGACACTACAGCCACAAAATGTTCATTGACTTCAGTCACATTGGCTTGAGGATTGGTTGGATTTGGTCTCTTCGGTGGCGGCAATCTTGTGCTTTATGCCCTGGTTTTCCACATACCCAGCAAGCACCTTTGATTTTCTTGAAATCCTTGCCTTTTGGTGCATGAGTTTTGCCATAGTTCTTTGCAACTTTCTTGCCCTTGTTATTCTGGAATTTTGGCTTTGATGTCTCAACGACATTGGCTTTGGCTTCCATGACAGGCACTTCACCCTTGTCACCTTTCCTGTGATCCTCCTCAACTCGAAGCCTCAAAATCAGATCCTCCATAGACATCTCTCTGCGCTTGTGCTTCAAATAAATTTTGAAGTCTTTCCATGATGGAGGCAGTTTCTCTATGATTGCTCCAACCTGGAAGTGTTCATTAATAGAGCACCCCTCTGCAAGCAAATCATGGATCAGAATTTGAAGTTCTTCAACCTGTTTAATAACAGTCTTCGAATCAACCATGGCATACTTGAGAAATTTGCCAATCACGAATTTTTTGGCACCAGCATCTTCTGTTTTGTATTTTTTCTCAAGTAATTCCCAAACTTCCTTTGCAGAATTGTATGACGAATAAATGTCATACAGAGTATCATCAAGCCTGTTAAGGATGTAGTTTCTGCACAGGAAATCAGATTGTTTCCAAGCCTCAATGGTCATCATTGTTTCCTTAGACATTGGATTTTCTCCTGATTTGGGAGCCTCCTCTCTGACAACATGTGCCAGATTCATGGTTGTGAGATAAAACAGCATCTTCTGTTGCCATCTCTTGAAGTCAATTCCCTTGAACTTCTCAGGCTTCTCGTCATGAGGATTCTTAGTCACCCCGTTCACAGTCACTGATGATTGTGAATCCATTTTACTGTCTTTAGATTGTTGGAAAAACAATTATCAATGACTGATTAAAACAATTATATAAACAGAATATATAACAATCTGTACCACAGAATACAATATATTAACAATAAATAAAACTAACTTGAATTTGAGATAGAGGCTTGCAGATTTGATGCAATGTCCTAAAGACAGTAATTTCACCCCTTCTCGGTGCTTGAAGTTCTACAGGTGACTGCCTCCCAGGATTCAACTATCTATATTCTAAGCCCTAGCACTCGGACTTAGAATCTGGCGAACGTTGTTTGTTTTCCTCTCAGACAATATGAAAATGCTTGTAGAATGCTTTTTTCTGTATCTAACGTATGAGGCTTTGTTTGATTTAAATAAACTTCTGAAACCTTATCAGAAGAGTCACAACTGTTAGAAAACAGTTAATAAAACTAATCCGAATTAATAAAAATTATTAATTCGAAACCAAAAAATAATTTTAAATCTGAAAGTGCCCAAGTGCCCCAAGGCCCAAGGCCCATCTTTTTGACCATTAAATATTATATATTTTTATATAATATTCAAAGCCCAAATCAATTTTGAAGCCCAAATTGCTTCCACTTGGCCTACTTCCATTTACTAAGTGTGGCACTTCCACACTTATAAGGACCTCACTCTTTCTACTTTCTATCAATGTGGGACAAAGGTTCTTGAATTTAATTCAAACTTCCAACAATCATCTCCTCCAACCTGAAGCCTACTATGCAATGTCCTAGACATCTCTGTGAAGCTTAATTCCCAGAGTGTAGTAATATGTCTCAGCCCATCTGGAAGTGTCGTCAATCCCACGCAACGTTGCATGCACAATCGGTGGAGGCTAGGCATGGCTCCTTCTTCCACCGTGAAGTCCCTTAATTCGTACATGCAAATGAGGGAAAGAGATTCAAGTTGAAGAAAGCTTCCTTTGGAGAAAACCAGTGTGTCTAATCCATCCTCAAAAGTTTCCTCCATAAGGCAAAGAGTTCTAAGATTTGGCTGCTTCTCTAGCACGGCCATCTGGTTGGCCTTGAGATCACAGCGACACAGTGTTAACTTAGTGAGATTCGGAAAGTGTTCAAGGTCCGGTAACTCTACGGTTCGCCCATTCAAATGTAGCTTGTATATATGACGGCAACTTAACACTATCTGTGCAACTTCCGTACCACTATGAATTCCGAGTAAGTTGTGCACAAATAGAGATCGAATGCGATCAAGTATGCTGCTCGTAGATTTTAAGGTTTCCTCCAAATTTTTGAAGGGGCTTGTCACTCGTATGGCCAGTTTTCTAAGACTGGTTAACTGAGTAAGATCGTTCAAGTCACAGCAGAGGCTTGAAACATGGTGTAGAGTCTGCAAATCATGAAGAGTGGACAGTCGAAGTTTTTTACCCCGAGCGGTGTAATAAAAGGGTAAATACAAATGCCTCAGTTGTTCCATCATCCAAAATACATCTGGAACTACCATCGTTCCATTAATGCGTAAATCCAGAGTTTGCATACATATCAAATTACTTAAGGACGATGGCAACCATTTTATAAAACTATGCCTTAGACTTAAAAATCTCAAGTGGACCATATTCCCAATTTCACTAGGCAATTTAACTAATAGCTCTATACCTTCAACCTTCAAAACTCTAAGCAATTTGAAGTCCTTGAATAGTGGCGACACTAACTTGTTATTGTTTGGCATCCAGTATCTCGGGCCAAAGTATAATAGAGATCTAAGGCGGTCGTCTCTTTCATATCTTGATGGAACCAATTTATCAACATTATCATCCACATAAATTGCAAGTCTTCGAACCTTACCTTTTAGTGTTGCCTCGGTTGGAGAAGGAAGAGCATACATTGTCTCCCTATGCGACAAATTGACAGTTTGGAGAAAGTTCTCCTCTTCTGCCTTCAACAAGCACAAGTCTCGCATGAGATCATGAAGCCGACAAGATTTAATCTTTCTAATTGAACCCCGTTCTCCAATCTGAACCATACACCTTTCCACTAATTCATTTAAGTAACTAAAAGCTATCTCCTCCATTGTTTCCATTGAACCTTGTCTTTGTTGCACCAAGGATATAAGACCTTCTGCCATCCATAACTGAGTCAATCTTTTCACTGATATCTCAAAATCTTCAGGAAAATGACCTAAGTATAAAAAACATGGTTTTAAATAATACGGTAAGTTATCATAACTCAACGACAACACCCACGATGTACCCGTCACTTCATGTTCATGGTCTTTGCCTCTTCTTATGTATGCATAAACATTCTTAAGGACTGTCTCCCACTCATTAATTGTGTCCTTTCTGGCGAGTAGTCCTGCGAGCACAATGACTGCTAATGGCAAGCCGACACAATGTTGAAGCATTTTCTTTCCTAATTCTTTCATCTTTGTGGAAACTTCAAAGGCTGAAAAATAATCAACACCAAATTCATTGTTATATTAGCAACTTTGCATTGTAAAAGTAAACAATTAAAGAACTACACTAATCACTTGTCTAAAATAAAATGTTCATTTTTTTTTCAAACAATTTTTACACTGTTAGTTTATGATTTTACTCAACGTATGCTAGATATATCAGCAACAAAAGAAAATAAAACACTTATGCTAGATAATTGACAAAATTAATATAATGACAACTGCATGAAGTTTAATAACTTGGAACACAAAAACTACTTTGAGATGGGTTTTAACTGCTGAAGTTGGCTCACTTAAAGATGCAAAAATAGGAAGGAGAAGCAAGAAGTGACCAGTCACTTCTTTCAAAAACTATCGGTCACATAATCCCGAGAGCAGAGGTGGCGATGTTGGAGAGAAGTTGGAGGTTCTGTGCAAACCGACCTGTCGCAAGTATTGGGCGATTGGTCACCGCGTGTTTTTCCTGCTATGCGTGATTAGTATTTTGCTAGTCTATTTGACTAGGTTAAGTCTTCTATCACTATTAGGTTTGTACTTAAGTCCTATGAACTATAAATAGGCACTTTAGTGCTAAGTTTTCATAACGTGAGAAAACCAAGGCATCAAATTGAGTTTGAGCCAAGGGTGAGAGAAAAAAGAGCTAGGGTTTGTGAGAGAGCAAAGAGGGTTATTCATTGTAACCATAACGTCGAACCTCTATAAATTCTTGTGTTATTTGTGTGTGAGTTTACTTTTCAGTTTGTGTGTGTGCTTTATCTTTGCATGGCTTGTGTGTGATAGTTACGTAATCCATCAACGATAATGTATTGGAGTGTTTTCGCACAACATTAATTTCCCGAAATAAAAAAAGATAGGTTCAACGGACGAGTTCGAGATTCATTTTTCAATTTCTAAATTATAAGGTAATCAAAACCCGTACTCTTTTATCGATAAAAAATAATTAACAATACTTAAATAACTATAATTTATTGATAAACATGTTTTAACAAATGACAAAATTAAAATTAAAATCTGAGAGTTTATATTTCAATTTGGTGGCGTTAATTTGTTTCAATGTTTGTTTCCAAAGTGAAAATGGTTATAGCTAAGAATATTTGATCTGGAGATAAGACATAAAATATAAGGTTCTTAGAGCAAAGTTCTTATGAAGAATCCCATGTGCTATGTAATTTGGCAGATAATCATATAACATTTATCGTTCACCAAAGACAAAATGTTCGTAACGCTTGGAAACACAAAGTCTAAAAAATGATTGTATGTTTTTTCTTTTTAGTGCTTCTATTTTCATCCCCTTGTCTTATTTCCCCACCATTCTTATCTTCAAAATTTTAAAGCCAAATTTACCCCTATATAAAATGACTTCTAAAGACTTAGAAAAAGAACATTAAACATTCAAACCAATTAAAAACAACTAAAAATATTATTTTAAAAAGTATCAAAACCCTTCCCGCACAACACGCACACCCCACCCTCCTCTGTCCTTCCTCTTCCTCCACTGCACTGCAGCCATTTTTATTATAATCAATAGTGGCTCCTTATTATAAATCTTTTTCTTATTTTTAATTAGTTTTTAAAATGTTTTAAAATATTATAATCAATTTAAGTTTAAGAAAATGGGTCCCACATATGTCATCTCATCATTTAGTACTAAATTATAATTAAATGGTATTTTAGGAATAATGGTGGGTGGAAAAATAGGATTGTATTATTTCAAATGGTGGGTAAAAAGATAAGTTGGGTGAGGAAATAAGACAAGTGTGTGGAAATAGAAGTTTTTTTTTCTTTTTCTTTTTTGTCTTTCTCAAATGTAGTGTCTAATGAAATATGAAAAGTTCTTATCTATTGCTTTTAATTGACAAATATGAAATTAAAGTAGAGAATTGGGATGAGAGAATACTTATTCCTTCTCTTCCAAAGACTGCTATCTTCTCAAAAAGTTCCCAGCTTTCATCGTCATTTAATGGGAGAGGTTGGTGGATGAATCCATTTGAATGTAAAGCTACCTCTTTGTTGCGAGTGGTGAGTAATATTCTGCTTTCTGTTTCCTCATCATACAATGGAAATGCAGCTTTCAGTGACTCCCATGCCTCAATGCTCCAAATATCGTCAAGGACTACCAAGCATCTACTTTTTTGTTGTAGAAGATATATCTTCTTGGCTATTTCATCATCCCTCAGTTTTGCAAATTCTTCTCTTTGCGCAGTGGTAGCAGAAATAAGTTTAATTAAAATTTCTTCCCAAACAGATCTCACTTGGAATTGTTGAGATATACATACCCAAACAAAGCAACCAAAATGGCGTCTAACTTCATTATGATGATAAATTTTTTTTGCAAGGGTGGTCTTTCCCAGACCACCCATACCCCAGATAGAAACAATTCGGTGGCTAAATTCTTTCTTCACCAAATGCCTGACCAATTCTTCCGCACTATTCTCTAACCCAACAACATCACGTTCAATAATATGAGAATAAGTTCGCCTTACTTGCTGCTGCCTCTCATACAAAGAAGTGGCACCTCTAGAGTCCCTTATTTCCTTAATGTTATAAGTTTGCAAGCTTGACCTCAAATTAGAAAGTTGGGTGGTAACATTCTCAATTTGTGACCCAATCTGGTGAAGATCAACTCCTTCCTTTAACACGCAACCAAATCTTTTCAGAACATTCTTCATGCCTCGCTTCTTTGTAGCCACTCTCAAGATAAATATTTCTATGACATCCTCCAGATCATAAGCAATCTTTCTTATTTGTGCAACCCAAACACGTACCGTTTCATCATCTCGTTGCCTTATGTCTGCATCTTTCAGAAAACCTTGCATGAGTTGCAGCTCAGTTTGTGCAAACTCAACTTTATCGCTAACTCCAAACAAGAACTTCGCATCTTGGATGATGAATTCTCCAAGTCTTTCAATCACAAAGGAAACTACTGCTTCAGTCATATTTTCTTCGAGCGCACAAGGAAAACAACTTGCTGAGAAGAAGACATGACATAATCATTATATCAGACAACACAATCACTACTAAAAGAACACACACTAGCTACTGATATGAATTTGTCCCCTAAGTCGATTTTAGAGACAATAAATTGTCTTCATTAACCAATAGAGACTATGCAGCGACTATTTTTATATCAGTATCCTAGTTTGGATTTGCTATTGCTTTTGGGTACCATTTATTGGCTCAGTCCTTCCCTATTTTCCATTAAAGATGTACCTTTTAAAGATACAAGCCATTTAAGTTAAGCCAAGCCATGTTGAATGGCTCCAAACTTGGGATATGATATTTGGGGTTTCCATTGATTATAAGATACTGTTAAATCTTTGTAAGTGCCCATTGAAAAGGCACCATTACTTATCCGTGCCAAAGTGAACAACAATTGTTTTAAAAATTAAAAATTAAAAAAATTAAAAAAAGGCACCATTTTTAGGTGCCAATTCATCTTTATAATTAATAATACATTTAATACTAAAAGAATATGGTCCCACCTACTCTGTTTTTTTTCTATAACTCAAAATCAACCAATAGACCCAAATGAAGCAATCAGACCCAATTAATCTTCTTAAATATATACCACAATTACAAGATACCATGGAAAATATACAGAAGGAACCCATAATTTGAAATCATAGATTGCTATATAAAAAAATTAAAATAAAGATCAAGGATAGATTGAGATTATTACCTTGATTGGAAGAGCAGACAACCTTATAAGATTGAAAGGCAGGGAGGAGTGAGAATCTGAAAACCAAAGATATACTCGAGTTGCATTTTAGTCCTTCAATTAAATTATTCGTTTAAATAGTTCACCAACTCTTTATTAATCGGCGCATTGGCCCTACCGTTACATTCTGTCAATATTATTATCAAATATAGGGGTAAAAGACTCCAATTAAATAAAATAGTAAATAAATTAAAATTTAAAAAAACCTATTTCCCTCTCCCACCTCCTAGCCCGATAACCATTGCCCCAGTGCCCCATCTTCTCCTCCTCACAGCCCACCTTTTCTTTCCCTCCCTCCATGTCCCCTCCTCCTCTCTCCCTCTATTTCTCTCTTCAAATGTTTAATGGGGTTGCAAGGCTCTGGGTTTGTTGAGAGAGAGAGAGAGAGAGAGAGAGAGAGAGAGAGAGAGAGAGAGGGTGGGGAGGGTGGGATGCCGAGAGGTTGTTGCAGAACCTCGATGAGATGGGGGTTGGGATTAGAGTGGGGGAGGATGAGGTGGGTTGGTTTTTTTTCTTTTTTTAGGCTTATTTTTTTATATACCTCCTGAAAGTGTATTTGAGTCACACTTTACCCCCTGAAACTCATTTTGTCTCACTTTACCCTATATTTCACACAATTTTGTCTCATTTTACCTCATTTTTCACAAAATAATAATTAAAAATTTCAATTTCAATCTTAAAACTTAAAATCCATAAAAAATTTGTAAAGAAAATTAATATTTTAGAAAAAATAAGATTAAAACAAAAACAAAAACTACATCCCTATACCCAAACCTCAGCCTCCCATCCCCAACCCTATGCCTCTCTCTCTCTCTCTCTCTCTCTCTCTCTCTCTCTCTCTCTCCACAAACGGTCCCTCTGTTGGGTCACATGTAAGGCTCGGGGGTGGGAGTGGTTTGGGTAATTGGGGGAAGAAAAAAAAACCAGAGGCATCATTCGCAAATAGAAAAGATAATACATGCAGGGAGATGAGGGGAAAAAGAGGAAGATGAGGGAGAGATAGAGGGGCAGAGAGTGGGTTGTGGATGACGGGGAGGGGGCTAAGGTTTGGCTCAGGGGTGAGAGAGAGAGAGAGAGAGAGAGAGAGAGAGAGAGAGAGAGAGAGAGAAGAGGATGCAGGCAGATGGGGAGATGGAGGGGGAGAGGGAGGGTAGGGAGGCATGGATAAGGATGCAATTTTTGTTTTTGTTTTAATCTTCTTTTTTCTAAAAAAAATTATGGGTTTTCACCCAATTAAAGAACATTTGGGTTTTCTGCCATGGCTTCAAGCTATTGAGTATCAAAAGCGCATTTTCTCTAGTGGATGTTTGTGAGATTTCTTCAAGAGTAGCCAAGAAAGCACCTTAAGAGGCATCACAATCATTGAGCTTATGAGCAAAGTGCCTGAGATCTCTCACCTGAGGATTGTAAGAGTAAAGAGAATGTTTCTGTCTCTGCATAGAGAGCACATAGTGTTTGGGCTTGGCGGGGTTCAAACATTTTATCACCAATAACACAAGGAATTGTAAAACTTCCTGGATCTTTTAACTTGGGATTCCTTTGCAAAACAGCAGAAACCTCTTCCCTTAGTGCAACTGTTTCATGATATTTTAATTTCCTCTTGTTGGTACAAAGGTCCTTCAAGAACTTTGCATAGCTTGGAATTTGCTTGATTACAGGCCACCAATAATGCTCTCTCAAGGTGCAGTACATTATTGTGCTGCTAGGATGCATGGCAAAGGCCGAACTGTGGGCCTCCTCAAGAATTTCCCTCTTTAGTGCTTCATATATCCTCGGGAATATGTAATCTTGTTCTTACCATCAAAGCTTCATCCCTTCTCATAGAATAATATGTTCTTGTACCATTTTCAACCTCCAACCTTAACGTGCAAATTAATGGATCCTGCATTTGGGCTTTGATAATTCGTTCAACTAACACCGGTCTTAAACGGAGAGTAGCAAGCAAAGCTCCCTAATCATCCATACTTAACCCAATTCTCGACTTTCTCAATTCAACCAACAATGGAAGATACTTCCCTCGGAGATGAGCCAAGAATCCAAGCGACTTCCTGCTAAGAGCATCAGCCACAACATTAGCCCTCCCAATATGATGTCCAATGGTACAATCATAGTCCTTTATTAATTCTAACCATCTCCTCTGTCTCAAATTTAATTCCTTCTAGGTGAACAAATACTTTAGACTTTTATAATCCTTAAAAATTTGGCACGTCTCCCCGTAAAGATAATGTCACCAAATCTTTAACTCGAACACTATCGCAACAAGCTCCAAATCATGCGTAGGGTATTCAACTCATGCTTCTTAAGTTGCCTAGAAGCAAAAGCAATTACCTTACCATGTTGCATCAACACACAACCTAAACCCTGTCGTGATGCATCACTGTAGATAACAAAGTTTCCACTATCGTCAAGAAAAAACCAATATTGGAGCAGCTGTCAACCTGGTTTTTAACTCAGTAAAACTTTCCTCAGACTCATCTGTCCATTCAAACTTAACTTCTTTCCTTGTCAAACGAGTGAGGGGTGTCGCAATGGTAGAGAAACCCTCCACAAAGCGACGGTAGTACCCAGCCAACCCAATAAAACTTCATACCTCAGTGACATTGGTTGGTCATGGCCAATTTACCACCGCTTCCACCTTTTGAGGGTCCATATAGATACCTTCAGCAAAGATCACATTCCCCAAGAAACTAACTATGTCCAACCACAACTGGCATTTGCTGAATTTTGCACACAATTGTCTCATTCTTAAAGTTCTCAGCACAATTTCCAAGTGCTTCATGTGCGCCTTTCCACTTTCGGAAAACAAAAGGATATTCTCTATGAACACAAGCGGTCTAGATAACGTTTGAACACTCTGTTCATGAGATCCATAAACAATGCTGGTGCATTAGTCAGCTCAAAAGGCATCACAAAAAACTCGTAATGGTCATACCTCATCCAGAAAGTAGTCTTAGGTACATCATCTTCCCTGATTCTCAACTGATGATAGCTTGATCTCAAATCAATCTTAGAAAACACCTTAGCACCCTTCAATTGATCGAACAAGTCGTCAATGCGTGGCAACAGATATCGGTTCTGCACTGTGACCTTGTTCAACTGTCTGTAATCAATGCACAACCTCATGCTGCCATTCTTCTTCTTCACGAACAAAACTGATGCACCACAAGGAGAAAAACAAGGTCGAATGAAACCCTTGTCTACCAACTCCTGCAACTGAGTTTTCAACTCTCTCAATTTAGCTGGTGCTAATCTATACGGCGCTTAAGAAATAGGATTTGTTCCTGGGTCGAGTTCAATAGTGAATTCGATCTCCTATTCAGGAGGTAATCCAGGAAGATCTTCTGGGAATACATCCAGAAACTCTTGTACCACCAGAATATCTTCCAACCGCAATCCATTATCCCATGTATCAATCACATGAGAAAAGTATCCTGATCATCCCTTTCTAAGTAACCGTCTCGTCATCATGGTTGAAATGAGGCAAGATGGAAGAACTCTACTCTCCTCATAAAAAATCACCTCAGGTCCTCCAGGACTACGGAATACGAACTCCTTCCGAAAACAGTCAACTGAAGCATGATGCTTAGCTAACTAATCCATACCTAGAATAATGTCTAAATCCACAATATCCAAAGGGATTAGGTCTGCCTCCAAGAATACATTTCCTACTAAAACCAAACTATCCATGTACCTCGTACCAACCATGAAAACATGTCATGTGGGTATAAAGATAACAAGCTCCTCAAGCAAGATCGTGAGCCTCACATCAGCATTATGGGAAAAACTATGTGCAATAAAAAAATTGTGTAGCCCCGGGGTATCAAAACACGTGCAAGAATTCCAAATACTGGTAACATACCTATGATGACATCTGACGACGCCTGCGCCTCTTGCTAAGTCATATTATAAACCCTAACAGTTGTTCTGGAACGTCCACCACGTCCCCTCTGCTGATTTTCCCTTCTGCCAACTGTACTAGTATGGGCCCCACTGTTGGATGACATTCCCACAATCTGAGATGTGCCCTAAACTCAGCTTTGTGCATTACTCCCTTGAGCTAGCCCAACAATAATCTCGCTACCCTGCAGTAACATCGGGCACTCCCTCCGAAAATGCCCCTGCTTCCCATAATGATAACACCCCGATACACCCTGCTGATAAGGCCCATCATGATATATGTTGCACAATGCAAATTGTGGGTGACTTCTTCCACTGTATAATGTCTATAACTGTCTCCCCGAGTTTCTAACCGTACCATCACCAGAACGAGGTCTAGAACTAACACTCTGAGTATATCCCCCACTAGAACTGGCTCTAGCTCAAAAACCTTCATAACTCCAATAGCTAGAAGATCTTGAGTTGAAGTTACCTCTCTTGGATGATCCCTGACTAGGACCACCTGAATCAAACTGACGCCGTCGGGAATCGCCGCGTCCTTGGCTGCTCTCAATCAAAGTAGCAAACATCACAAGATCATCATCATCTACCATACGCTGACCCACCATGATGTCACGAATGGATGGCTTCAAACGCCTAGTGAATAACTAGCATTTCTTCCTCTCATCTGCCACCAATGGTACGCAATACTTGGACAGCTCAATAAATCTCTTTCCATACTCCAATACTGTCATGCTACCCTACTCGATCTGTAAGAACTCCTCTATCTTCATATTCTGATATGCTAAATGGTATAACTGTACATCAAAAGCAGTCCGTAATACTTGCCACGTGATGGACGACAGATCCTAATACCGTATTCTTATTGATTCCCACCAATACCTTGCATTCTTGGAAAGAAAGAATGCAGCCAAAACTACTCTGTGTTCCGCCATTACATTTATGATCCTTTCCATCTTCTTAATCCACTCTTCTACTATATCAGGGTCACTGTCACCATTGAACTCCACTGCCCAGATTCTTCTAGCCAGATCCGCATATGTCAAAGACAGATCTCTGATATGCCGGTTCGAAACAAAGCATGGGTAAACAACTCTAAGGTATGCTGAAAGTTAGGGTCGATAGGTTGGGTGGGCATCACCGGTACTTTCCCTGTCGGATCTTCCATAACTGATTGCTCGACATGTTCCTGTGTCGAACCCGAAATAGGATAGTTCTCCGGCTGAAGAGGGGCATCCTTCCACAAAGTCAAGACGATTGACGAGTCCCCTTACGAGTACCACCAAGCTTAGGGCTCATGATTCTGTTACAAGAAACATGAATTCATCATTACAGGAATTCTTTTAAGGTTTGACTTCTGCCGAAAAATCGACAGAGTCTCCCCCGTAAATTGCTTGTTCTCCAAAATTTACACCAGTTCAACATGCACAATGATAGAACACACACAATCCAACTTCAAATCTGTGTGGCCTCAGGCCTTATAGAAATCCTAGAGCAATATCAGAGTATGCTAATTAATTTAATTTACAAAAATAGTACAGTTACAGTAGAATATCTTACATAATGGAAGTGGATGAGTGGTGGGTGATGAATGCCCGATGGTGGTGCTCTGGTACTCGATAATTTTCTGGGGGCGCAAAACATTAAAAACGTGAGTGGACAAAAGAAAGTTTTACAAAATAGAACATCAACACACTAACCACACTGTTAAAACCATTTGAAAATTCACTTAATCCAAGTTCAATATTCGTATGAAAATCAAACATGCATAATTATATTCATATAACCATTCATCTATTCAATCAATTCAACAAAATTATTTGAAAACATTGAAAAATAAAAATTCCTTTCCACCTAGGTGTACCCTTCATAAATCCTTCAATTCCATGATTTTTCTATTTATTTCCCATATTATACGTCAATTCGAAGTGTCACATAAGCGACATCTCCTCGCAGAACTCAGAAACACGAAGTTAACCCGAGATGCATTCCTCGCAAAACTCAGGAGACAATTGCTCAACTTGAGCCGCATTCCTCGCTCCTCATGGTCCAAGTATCCCTCGTGGGGCAATTGTCAAATGCGCACTGACTCAACCGAAGGCAACTAGGATGTCCGTGGACATTAATATATCCGAAGGCAACAGTTTATTTGAAGGCAACATTTTGGGTACCTATGGTGGTTTTAAAATCTTTTCTGAAAAATTATAATATTGTTTCTCACTAAATCCTTAAATCTTGTTGCCATTTCCTTTTCTACTTTCCAAGCCTTTCACATTTAATCATAACAAAATTTTATAAAAGCATTTGAATTCAAACTGTGTGCTTGGAAAGCAAAAACCATAAATAATTTGTTAATGATCAATTAATAAAACTTTTACTGCATAAAATTCATTTATAAAACAAACATTCACTCATTGTGCGTCCGAGCTCGCCTAACCCTTCAAGGGTCCTTCCTGCATGTTTGGTGGAGCCTGAGTACCTATTTAAGTGATTAAAATATTTAATTAATAAAATAGCTCAACCACAAATATTTAATCAAAACCCTGACCCCTGGCCTTAAAGTCCGTGTGCATACTTAAGTTCTGACAGTTAGACTGGTTTGAAAAGACCCGGGATTAAATATATGATTAAATTCTTATATTGGTCAACCCGGTCCCCCAATCAACATATTTGGAAATGGAGGCGATCCAATGGTCCGAACATATCGAACCCAAATATTGCCTAATATGTAAAATTCGTTCAACCATCAAACGATAACCAAATTCGAATCCGAGCATACCGTCGTGCTTGGGAAGACATGGAATCATTTTAGGACCAAATAGGGGCGTGAGTGGCTTGAGAAAATTCTTGCGACCGGAAAATTCTCAAAACACCTAACAATACCTATACCTACATTATCAGGACAACTAGTGGAGCAACTTTTGTTCTTGTGACACGGCCAAAAAGTAGCCGGAGCTTGCCGGAAATTCGAGCCAAAAACGGGTCAAAACTTTATATCGTAAATCGAGCTTCAAAACTTCAAAATCAATCCTAACCAACCCAGCCATCAATTAAGTCACGTTGAAAGGATAAGAAAGCATATCTGGATCGACAAATTTGGTGGCCAGAATCGTCGAAAACGACAATGGAAAGTTTTGAGAAAATCAGAACTTTATCGAGCTACCACTGGCGAAGGAGTGGCCAAGCTCGTCGAAGAAGGGATGGGTCGAAGAGAGGAAGTTGAGCCCGTTCTAACGGAAGTGGTCTCATGGCCAACGGTGGCCAGACTGAGTAGTTGTCGGCCAAAGAATGGCCGGCTATGAGAAAGAGAGAAAGAGAGAAAGAGAGAGAGAGAGAGAGAGAGAGAGAGAGAGAGAGAGAGAGAGAGGAGAATCTAATTGTTTTTAAAATCTGACTTCGAAATATTTACGGTTGTCCCACTGCACTTCTGTTGATCGTAACTTCTTTGTTAGAACTCTTATTTGAGACCACTAGATGTCTACAAACTCGTATCGACGCACTCTACGCAATGGTGCTACTCAAATCCCCAAATTCTTTCCCGAACAAAAAGTCAACTTTAAACTCATTAAAATACTCTCGGGATAAAATTGTCTTTTATTTGAATAATTTAATAATTAAATATTAATTTAGGAACTAGATGTCACATCATTTTTATCAAAGCAACCATCATTTTACACATAGGCTAATTTCCTCAGATTTCCAGCTTTGACTTCTGTTCCTTTTTTACCTGTAACTTTCCAACCGTTAATCCAAATGCTACGTTCTTTATATGGTTGGATTCAGCACAGAAAAATGAAGAACCTCCCTAGGCCAAGATACAGAAGTTAGAAGAATTCGGTGGAAAGAACACTCAAGATTTCAAACAACACACATACAAAACAAAAAGGGGGGGAGGTTTGATTCAAGTGAACTAATTCTAATGCTTAAAATATAACTGAACTCTAATTTTAACAAGACCAACAGAAACAATTATCAAAGTTTGAATTAAAATGATAACGAAAACTAGTATTTTCGAATCCACCCTAAACAATCCTACTCATGTACATGGATAATAAAGTTATGAACTTTAGATGCATTGATGAAGATTTTCGCAATCAAGACCGGGTTTAATGGCTCAAGACGCATGATTCTCTCTAAAATAAGTAAGATGCATGTTTAATGCTACAATACTCGTGCTTTCCATAAGATCAATCTAGGTATGCTTAGTACTTCGATTTAATCATATGAAAAACCTATTAAGTTTGAAGAGAATATGAACATCACAAGAACCCTAATAGCATGGTTTTTACATTAGGCATTCAAGAAACCAATTCATGGATGATTCTTACTTCATCCATTAGTTGCTTAGGAAAACATGAAGGTACATATAATCCCAACAATCTCAAGAAGCTTGCTTTCAAGGGTGATCAACCAAAGAAAAACATACATCAAGGATACATTATTTTAGTGAAGATGAATTCATCATTTGTTGTTAAGAAACCAATTCACAAGATGCTCACTTAGAAAGGATTTAGTCATTTGTTGCTAATTAGAAATTATGTTCTTGGGTATCACACATAACTTCTCAACTTTAGCTAGATGCATGCAACCTAAGGAGATCGATCAAAGCAAGCAAACAGATAGCATATGATTAATTTACTGAAAAGGAATTCATCAAAAACATCTAGAAATCCATTAACTTAAGCATCAAAACAATAGAGTAATCATGTTTAGGACTTCAACCTAAGCCCTAGTTATGGAGTTTACTTCCTCATGTTCATAGTAAATACAACTTGAAATAAAATTAGAAAGAAGTTAGAGATTTTGTGAAGATGAAGGCACAAGCTCTTCAATGGTGGAAGAGTTCTTCTCCTCCTTAGTAGCCTCCTTGCTTGGCTGCTCTCTCTCTCTCTCTCTCTCTCTCTCTCTCTCTCTCTCTCTCTCTCTCTCTCTCTCCTCTCTCTCTCTCTCTCTCTCTCTCTCTCTCTCTCTCTCTCGTTTCATAAAATGTATGGTGTTGAGAATGATAAAATGTGCCTTATGATTCTTCCCCCCTTAACTACCCTCTCCTCCTTTCCAACTCATCCATCAATATAATACTCATTCTTTTATTCATGTCATGATGAGATTTGGTTTTACATTCATTAAGATGCTCTCTTTTGACTCAGAAAATCCCGCTCCATCAAAGTAAGTTATTGTTACCAAAATGTATGGTAACAAGAAGAAATAAGCAAGTGGAGGTAAAACTGGCCCAAAACAAGTTTCCAAAGCCAAGTTTAATGTTAGATCAGTTGAAGAGGTTATACTTGTTCAATGGAGCTAAATTTTGGATATGTTGTAGTCGACACCCATTGGAACAAGTTTATTGAAGAATTTACCGCATATGAGCATCGGAACATGGTGATCCATGGTCAAGAAATTGACCTACAAAAATGAGCAAAAACAGATTTTATATTTAATAATGCACTTTTAGCTCATATTTATTCCCACCAATGTAAAATCTATATATATAAAAACATACAAAGGAAGGAGAAGGATATAAAATTTCAAGAACTAACTCAAAATATTGGGTGAATGACATGATAAATCATGTACAAAAATGAACCCAACACATTGCCAATTGGTTTTG